AAATACTGAGTGAAAATAAAGGAAGGTGATAGGCGTGCAAGAAGAAAACACAGTAATTAGAATTTGTGGCTGTTTGTTACTGGTGTGTATTTTTTTGTCTTCTTTCTATTCCTGTGTCCCCACTAATAAGGGGGGCTGTAGACATCTGAGAAAGCTGTTTTTGATGCAAAGCTTTTTGGTACTGCTGAAACTGAAGGGAAGGGAACAGGTGAAGATGTGGCTAAAGATAATTGTATCAATTTACTCTCTTCAATATTACAACCTAGCTCTGATGTCAGTGAGGAGCAAATCCAGTGGATTTGTGCTGTGTAGGTTTTCCACACGGTGCGATGTCAGTAGAACAAGATGAAAAAAACAGAGAAGAGAAAATAGTCCTTTTAAGAGAAAAAAATACTGTTATTTTTGTATGTAATTTCCCTGCCTTGTCCAGGACCAAGAAGGCTCTTTCCCCAGAGTACTTTCTGTTCAGAGGCTATCTCCTAGATGGTGCTTCCTAGATGGTAAGTGCATGTCCCTTCTCTTGGGCCTAGCATGCTGCTTGCTTCTGGTGTGCTTGTGAAGGATAGGGCATCTAAGAGTATTACCATGGAGGGGAAACTCTACCTTCTTATTACACTGAGGAGGTAAAAAAAGAGCTGGGTGCTCTGCTTTTCATCTAGTCATTAAAGTGTCTGCTGTAGCATTGTCACCCCAAAGAGGCATGTTCTAAGGGTGGTTAGAGGTTTGGTTTATTAGTGTCTCTGCTGTGATGAGCAGCACTTCTTGCATGGCAGTGCTTGGACTCAGAGCACAGCTGGTTGTGGCAGTACTTGGCTGCTGGTAAGGCTGTGTTCTTCACTCTGGTTTCTCTTTTAGTACTATAATGTTTAATTACTATAGTGTTTAGGTGATGGAAATGAATCTCCCTTTCGCTATAAGACTGCACTTAGTGGAACTCCCTGGACACCTGCACTTGTATTTGACCCAGACTTTGTCAAAGCAGATGGTTTGTCTGGGCTTTACATCGGGCTCCAGAGCACTGAAATTAGCAGCTAAAATGGATGGCATCTGCTTTTGCAAAAGCTTCAGGATGTGGGGATTGTTATTCTAAACAAAAACAATTTCTCCTTGGCAATTTCTAATCACTCTTCCTTGTCTCTCATGAGGGAAGTTGATAAAAAATGTTGAGTACCTGTTTGGGTTTTGGAGGAGGCTGGGTGGGTAGATGCATTTTGGTTTTTTCTTTAGGGATTTGATATTGCCTTGCAGTGCCAAAGCCTACAGTGCTACATAACTGTGCTCTTGTGTCAAAACTCCAGAATGAATGAATCTAATTTCACTGGCCAAACAAAATGTAAAGCAGAAGGAAAAAATCACATCTGATGAAGCACATTGTAGGTGATAAAATAATTCTGGGTTTAGTAATTACTAAGTTATTTGGGAGTGACAAGTTTTATATTAGGTGTTTTATTTAGTGAATCTCCCCTGTTTTCTTGTTTTGCATGAATACCCTAGATATCTGTGAATATCTGTGGCCATGAATTTGATTTACAAAAACCTCCTGTGCATGTTGTTCTTTAAAGTCCTAATTTGAATTAATCCTATTAGACCTATCAATTTCACAATATGCTTGCTATACTTTCATAGGAACAATGCAGCTTTTTCTGTCGCATGTTTATTGTAATGTAATCTTATTACAAGCCTGAAATCCATTATAAACATTTTTAAAAAATATTTATTTCAAGTTAATAATATATGTGAATATTATATTGTTAAGCCTTACCTTTAAATTCACCATTTAATGGGATAAGAATATGGACATAATGAATGAATCAGATTATGTTCTTGCAAAACCATGTGACTTCACTGATACAGAGGTTATCTTACATGGTAGTGATGTCAGCTCAGCTCATCCATGCAATTCTACTCAGACTGTTTTCTTCACTGTGGCTCTGTTGTTTCTGTGTCTTGCAGCAACTTCTGCTGATCGTTTTTACCGCATTGACAGATCTCAGGTAAATATCTATTCAATTAATGTTTCTTTTAAGCTATGTCAAATGTACCTTATTCTTTACTGTGAGGGTTACAGAGCACTGGAACAGGGTCCCCAGAGAGGTTGTGGAGTCTCCTTCTCTGGAGACTTTCAAGACCTTCCTGGATGTTTTTCTGAGTGATCTGCCCTAGTTTTTTTGGTCCTGCTCCAGCAGGGGGTTTGGACTTGATGATCTTCAGAGGTGCCTTTCAACCTCTAATATTCTGTGATTGTGTGATATGCCATTCCTCCTATGCATTCTAAAGTGCTACTGATGTATCATGGAAAGTAGAGACAAAACTATGAGCTCTTTTTTAGCTGATGTAATTCACATTGTTTCACTGAATTTTTTTATCTGCTGACCATCTGCCCTTCTGTTTACTACTGATCTGACACACAGATCAGAATTTTCTACATTTGCCTTCCTTTTCAAGTCTTACTAAGGGCATCTTTGTGGCACCAAAGTATTTGAATTTATCTTTTAACTGATACTTTTAGTCACCAGAGGTCTTGATCTGTGTGTGGGACATGAAATAGCTAAGGAAATTAAGGTGATGTTGCAAGCTGAGAATTACGAACAAAGCTACACCAAATATTCTCAAGGAACCCCAAAACAGCATGTAGCTCCACTGGATTAAAATCTGTGGTATAAATTTGATAATCTGAATATATTTTATAAAAGTTTGATTTTTTTACAGAACTTTTGGTGTAGCTGACTTGTAGCAGGAACAGACCAATTAGTGGCCCAACATTCAATGCAAATTGTTGATTTCACACGGTGGTCATTTGTACTGGGTCACCCCTGGGAGCTGTATAAGCTGTTTCTGACTCAGAGGAGCATATGATTGTCTCCTAGCAAAAACACCTGACAGTTTAGTTCAAGCAGAAGGAGCTGTGGCTTGAGTTCAGAGGTCCCAGGTTCAGTGTCTCCATGTGGCCACCACAGGGTGGTGGTTCTTTGCACAGTCATATGAACACTTTGATGAAGTTCTATTTTAGTATTTGGAAAATAAGGGTGAAGATGATGCTACCACAGGTTACACAAGGCAGTGTGACTCTATTTGGCTTAGTCTGCATTTCTTTAGTATTTGACTCTACAAGTGGTAATCTTTCCGTCCTGATTCTTTGTTGTGTGTTTCTGTGGGGAAAAGATCAATACTGTATGACGGTCCCTGTTCACAAACTGTGGGCAGTTTCCTTCCCATTCACCTGCATAGACAGACCTACTCACACTTGTTGTTTTTTGAAGGACAATGAGCCTTCTGTGTCAACGACAAAAAAGAGGGACTGAGTTGGAGAGCTTTGGTAACAGAGACATGAAATCAGGCTTTACAAGCAACGGAGGCCTGGGATAATTCCCCAAACAACGGAAGTTCTGTCAGCTGTCAGCAGAGGGCAGGCTTTGGGTGCTGGACCTTATTTCAAATGCAAACCTTAGATTTTTGGGTACACCTCCACTTTATAGCTAAATGACATTGTCACTGAGTACTACACCTTATAAGTGTCACTGTGAGTGTGAAGCTTTCTGGTTGCAAATCTTGTTTGGCTTGAAATCAATGAAGTATTTATTGGTTACTTCAGTGGCATCGGTGTTTGTGTGTGTGCATGTGCCCTTGCATAAATTCACAGACAGAGTCCCATTAATACTTTTCAGATAACCTGATGTGCACCCTGCTTTCCTATAGCCATTTGGGTGTTCTGAGAGATGATGCTGCATGTTCATTATTCATTCCTTGTTTCATTCCAACAGGAACATTTGCACTTTGTGACAGAAATTTCGCAGGACGAGATTTTTATTCTGGACCCAGAGCTGGTAATGTCACAGCAGGTGGGGACACCACCAGGAATG